CATGTCCAGTGCTGGGCGCCCACGCAAACCTTCTGTTTGCCAAGGCCTTGGGCAACCTGATCTGCCTGTACAGAGACCCCTTGGAGAAAGGGGAGGAGCAGCCCTCCCCGTGTGAGAAGATAGCACATGAAGGTCCCTGCCAAAAAGGATCTCAAAGCACTGATACTGGGGCCCCGAAAGAGGCGAGATTCAACACAGTAAATACACAGGTTGCAACACAGACCTCCAGGACAGCCAGTCACCCTTAGACTCTGGGATCCTTGACTGTTTATGCCTATGATCCCACCTGGCATCTTGTTGGTTTAAAGGAGAGTACCTGTTACAAAACAGAGTGGAGTTATAGCTTTCTTTCATCCCAAAGAAAGCTCTGGACTTGGGGTAAGATGGAATACTTATCATCTGTAGAATGTTAGTGATAAGGGCAATTCATATCTCCTCTTTGGACCTGATTTTCTCCACCTGTAAAATTAGGATGTTGAACTAGATTAGGAGATCTTAACATGGAGTCTGGACATTTATTTAAAAAAAAATCTTTTGGAAACTAGTTCAACATAATTCATTTCCCTTGGAGTCTTTTGTATTTTATTTTATACATTTGAAAATAACATTCTAAGAAGGGGTTCACAGGTTTCGCCAGGCTGCCGAAGGTCATAAAGGTGGTTAAGAAGTCCTAGACTAGATTATGTCTAAGCTCCCTTCCAGAGTTAATATTCCATGTTGTCCCCCTTTTAGGGCCCTTCCAGCTCTCAGTTAGTGTCTGTTTCATGCTTTAAGGTTCAGCTCTGACAGCCTATGTTCTATTATGGTCTCTTCCAGTTCTAAGTCAACACACAAGAATTTGGGAAGGGTCTGCTTTGTGAAAGGTAGTGGGCTACCCATACTGGGCATGTAAAGATAGGAGCAGAACAGTCCCTATTCTGAAGCAGACCCCATTCTACTTGAAAGACACAACGTCTATTTTGAGTAGATAAGTAAATACAAAATAATTTGAGGAGAAAGAAAACACTAACAGGGAATCAGAGATTGAATGTCATGAGCAAGGCACAGAAAGGGTTGGCTGTTGGATGGTGACAGCCTCAGCAAATTCGTATAAGCTATCCCCCGTCCATAAAATACAAGCCTTCCTACTCTCTGCTCCCCTGAATGTTTAGCTACTGCAGTTTCTTTTTTCAGCTCTGTGTTTTTTCAAAGCTCACTTCAACTATCTCTCCTATGAAGTCTTCCCCGATTTCCCCAGTTGTTTTTCTCAGTCTTCATTTGTATCCCTAACACTTAGCACGTAATAAGATCTTAATAAATATTTGTGGACTGAGAGTCAGGAATTGGAGTGTTGAGATCAGGAAGCATCTATTCTAGCTTGGTCTGGATGTGGAGTATGCTAAAGGAAATAATATAAAATAAGGTTGGAAAGGTAGGATGGACCCAGACTTTGGAGGCCCTTAAACATCAGACCAAATAGTTTTTATTTTACCCTACAGGCAATGGGGAGTCTTTGAAGGTTTTAGAACATGGGAATGACATGGTCAGAACCAAGCCTTAGGAATATTATTTTGGTATCTATGTGGAAGATGGATGGAGAGAGGAGAGGCCTCAATAAAGGGGCCCAATTAGGAGGCTATTACAGCAACTTGTCTAGGAGAGGTAGGATGGTGGCTGTGTAAATGAACAGAAGGGGACAGATATGAAAGACATTATAGCAGTAGAAGCAACTGGCAACTGATTGGATATTGAGTGTGAGGGAGGAGGAAGAGTCTAGGTTATAAATCTAGGTGATTGGGAGAGTGGTGGTGTCCTCAGAAGAAATAGGGATGTTTGGAGTGGAGATGCGTTTCAGTGGTGAGAAGAGAAGAGTTTCATTTGGGCTACTTTGAATTTGAGATGTTGACAAGGCATCCAGGTAAAGATGTGGGACTGAACTTAGCAAAGAGAGAAAGACTGGGTATACAGATTTGGGAAGTATTTACATCCAGATGAAAAATTAGAAAGCATAGAGGAAAGAGAAATGGGTCTAGGATAAAGCTTTCGGCCAATACCCACCGTTAAGTGAAGGAAGATGGGTAACCATTAGAGGAGCCTGAGGAGTGAGTTATTTAGGTGGGAAGAAAACCAAGAGACAGCAATGTCAGGGAAGCCCAGAGAGAAGAGTATCCTGGGGAGGACAGAGACAGTGTAAAAAGCTACAGAAGAGGATTAAAGAAAATGCCTGAGAAAAGCTCATCAGTTTTAACTGTTCAAAAAGCCTGAGCAAAGTTTCAGGGAGCAGTTTCAGTCAAGTGGTGGGGTCAGAAGTCACATTGTAAGGGAAATGAGTGGGTGGAGAGGAAATGAAGGCAGAGGCACAGAATATAGGTTACTCTTTCTAGGAGTTTTGCAGTGAAAGGGAGGAGGAGAGATAATGGAACTTCGTTTGAGGAAATGGTAGGGTCAGGTGAGGATATTTTAAGCATGGGAGCAAAGTTGGACACATTTGCAGGAAGCAAGGATGATGCTGGAAGAGAGAGAGAGAATGGAAGTCAGACAGTTGGGCTAGGAGAGCTCTCAGAAGAGATGACGGAGGGGAGGCTTGTTCCTTTGACATTCTATGTTCTAAGGTTACTTCTAGTTGTACCATGCTGTGCTCTGAAGTCACCTCCATCTCTGACATTCTACAAATCTGTTGGTTATTTCTATGATTCATTTCTCTAAGGACTTTGGGTTTGACACAATTCTCTGGTCTGACTGGCTGCAATCATCTGAATATTTTAGACTCATGGTGGGGGGAACCTCACATTAAATCCTTACATACTGATGAACTGAAACTGCCCCCCTGTTCAAAGACATAGCCTATTTTGGTTGTCATTTCAGTGGCCAACTTGCTCCTATAGATCAGCAGTGTATAAAGTCCTAGCTTCCCGAGGACTGTGTCCAGGCTACACATACCCTGCAAAGCACAGCACTACGGGCCTACTAGGATGGTATTTAATAAACATCTATTGGACGTTGGATGAATGAATATTGAAACTGTTGAACTGCTGAAAGAGACAATATGGTTTGGGCTACATTTAGACCCAATGAGAACAGAAGGGAAATGCAGAGTGTTAAACCAATAGTCAATAAACATTTATTAAGTGTGCCATGCTAAGCACTGGGGGGGGGGGGTGTAAAAATAATAAGAAAGACAGTCTGTGCCTTCAAGGAACTTACAATCTAATGGGGGAAGACAGTATATAAAAAGAAGCTGAAGGTGGTAAGGCACCAGAGGATACCCAGTATGGGGGCATGAAAACAATGGGGGAGTGGAAACCAAGGAGATCAGAAGGTGAGAAATGACAAGTTGGAAATTCTGAGGCCTCTATAAAGGGAGGCTCTGGGAGGGGTTCTTTGTTTTGCCCTCCAGCCCTCAAATCAGAGGGGAGAGAAGCAATTGAGTCTACTGAGGAGGTGTTGAGTACCACAGCTGAAGCAGTCACCATGACAGTGAGATTTCTGGTAATGAGCCTATCCTGAGGAAGCATGGTGTTCATAGAGTTAAAACTAAGTGGAGGATCTAGTGGAAAATGAAGAGTTGGAAATTCTGAGAATAGAGCAGCAGCTGCCACGTGGTAAAATTTTATGGTTGTTATGGTTAATTGACTGTCATATTTTTCATTTCTATTTTTATGCAAGTGTAGTGGTGGGGACCAGTCAATGAGGGCCCATTGCTTAGATCATGCTTGAATTTGTCCCTCCTAGTGGGTTATACAGAGCACGAACTTAGGCACTAGACCGTTGTTGGCCTGCTCTCCATTACATTCTTCCCACTCACCTAAACCTCCCATTAAAAATCTGCTGTCCTCAGCAAATCACTGGGGTAAGATCGGAACACACTGCAAACAGAACAGGTTTTAAGAGCTGGGCCGTGATTGGTCATTTCCTCTATCACACAGGCATCAGTAGAAGAAGTTTCTCAATATCTCTATCCTAATTCATTCATAGTATCTTGAGTTTTCCGAGCTGGAAGAAACTTTAAAAATCATGTAATCTAACTTCCTAATTCTATAGACAAGGAAACTGAGACTCAGAGAGGTTGAACAATTTGCCCCCAAATTAGACAGATGATACTACTAATAATAGTTCTGTTGGAGGGAATGCATAAGTTGATGATGTCACACATCTCTTGAAATATTGAATTAAATAGTGTGGTACAAGGGAAAAGTATTCTAATCTGATAATCAGAAGCTATGGGTCCTAGTCCCAGCTCTAAACCTTACTGACTTAAGTGATCCTGGTAAAAAAAATTTACCTCTCACTGATCCGACCATTCTGGAGAGCAATTTGGAACTATGCCCAAAGGGCTATAAAACTGTGCATACCCTTTGACCCAGCAATACCACTACTAGGTCTGTATCCCAAAGAGATCATAAAAATGGGAAAAGGACCCACAAGTACAAAAATATTTATAGCAGCTCTTTTTGTGGTGGCCAAGAATTGGAAATGGAGGGGATGCCCATCAATTGGGGAAGGGCTGAACAAGCTGTGGTATATAAATGTAATGGAATACTGTTGTGCTATAAGAAATGATGAGCAGGTGGACTTCAGAAAAACCTGGAAAGATGTTTATGAACTGCTGCTAAGTGAAGTGAGCAGAATCAGGAGAACACCGTACACAGTAACAGCCACATTGTGAGATGACTAACTGTGATAGACTTAGCTCTTCTTAGTAAATGCAAGGATCTAAGACAACTTCAAAAGTCTCAGGATGGAAATTGCTATCCACATCCAGAGAAAGAACTATGAAGTTTGAATGCAGACAGAAGCAGACTATTTGCTCCTCTCCTTTTGTTTTGATTCTTCTTTCTCACGGTTCCTCTCATTGGTTCTAACTCTTCTTTACATCATGACTAATGTGAAAATATGGTTAAGATGAATGTATAAGTAGAGCCTATAGCAGACTGCACACTATCTTGGGGTGGGGGGAGGAGAGGGAAGGGGAGAAAATTTGAAACTAAAATCTTATGGAAGTAAATGCTGGAAACTAAAAATTAATAAATAAATTGTTTAATAAAAAAATTTCACCTCTCTAGTCTCAAGTTTCTCATTTTTAGAGTGAAAGGATTGGGCTAAAGGATCACTAAAATCCCTGTTTTTAAAAATATTCTGTACTTTGTCACTCAACTGCTCTGTAGTTTACTTTCCTTACTTGCAAAATTGAATAAAAGCATTTGCCTTGATTGAAGTCTTTTCTTGATGTTTTGTCATAGTATGGAGATCTTGGGTTCTCAAGGACCATATATGCCAGAAGAACAATGCTATGGGATCTTAGACAAGCCATTTTTCTTCTCTGGGCCTCAGTTTCTTTCTCTGAAAAAATGAAGGGGTTAGATTTACTGATCTCTAAGTTTTCTATTTGCTTGGAATCTCCTATGATTCTATGGGCCTGTGATCCTCTATTCTGGCCCACCCTACCAAGCCATAATGGCTGAATGTCTATCTTCCAAAGAACACCCTGGCTCAGTGCGGAGAGGCTCATCATGGAAGAGTTGGACACCAGCTGATGAATTGTTTCAGAAATATTAAGTCATAGAGAACATCTACTGAGGTGTGCCAGATTTTGTCCAGAATGAGAAAATCATGGCTCTTTTGATATACTGAAGTATAAATATGTGGAGTGTGCCCAGAAAGAGCCTGAGAAGGTCCTGTTGAGTCCTTGGATCTCTTAAAAGTAAAGTTTAAGTGAGTTCACAATTTATTCCCTTATCAAAGACCTAACCCCTTTATCAAGGAGACCAGAGAAGGAGTCAGGAGGTTCTTAAAAGACTCCTCTTGGGCACATACTCTACCCCCATACTTAAAAATTTAAAGTCCCTAATAATGGTACACCAGGGTGCCTTTGAGTGCACTGGCCCAAAATCCCAAATTTGGAAATCTCTCTAGGGATGGCACTTGGAAGTCTTGACTGTAGAAGGCAATTAATTGCTTTGGCCTCTTTCTTGAATACCTGCTCTCATGCCTTACTTTCTTCTGAAGAGTCCATAGCAATGTGTAAAGTTCTATCTATAGTCATAGCTCTGAGATAGTTCATAGTTACCCCCCAGATCAACAGTCCTTTATGAGGGCACCAGGTCTACCCAGTGCTTTTCCCTTAGGAGTTGGTTGGGGGGCAGGGGAGGAATCAAACACAAGATGACATTTTAAGTCAAGAGGCCTTTGCACTTTTGTTGGGTTAAATAAGCCTGTTCTATTTTTGATGTATTGGAAGTGCTTTCATGAGAGAAGAGAGCTCTTTTATCTTATGTGTGCATGTTTGCGTGTGTGTGTAGGGGTGTGTGTGTGTGTGTGTGTGTGTGTGTGTGTGTGTGTGTGTGTGTGTGCGTGTGTGTGAAGATCTAGATGCGAGCCAAATTCTGTTTCTTGGGGAAATCCCGGGTGGGAGCAAGAGGCCCCTCCACCTGCCCTGCAAAATATTCTGTGAGTATCCTTCAATATTGAACTCAATCCAAGTAAATCTAAAACTTTGGTTTTGGACCAAGGGTTATGAATAGCTGCCCTACATTTCTTATAGTGTATTTGTGAGTATCAGATAAGATAATGCAAGAAAAAGTGCTTTAGATAATTCAGGGGGTGAGGCCAGGCCTATGATTTCATCACTGCTGGGAACCACATGGGAAATCCCTCAGAAGATAAAGATGGGCAACTTGATTCTAACTTAGAGTCTTAGAGAGTTAGTTGGGAGACTGAGAGGCTAAGGGACTTACCCCTGGTCACACAGCTAGTTTCTCTAAGAATTCAGTTATCTCAATCAATAATTGATAAATCATTGAACAAGGAAGCAGTGGATAGAGCACCAGGCTGAAGTCAGTAAGATGAGATACTAAGTCTGGCCTCAGACACTTACTAGCTGTGTGACCCTGGGCAAGTCAATCTCTGACTGCCTCAGTCTCCTCAACTGTAAAGTGAGGATCACAATGACAGCTACCTCCCAGGATTATTGTGAAGATCAAATAAGATGATATTTGTAAGGTGTTTAACACAGCCCCTGGTACATAGTAGGTGCTTAATAAACACTTATTTCTACCATCTGCCAAGCTCTGCAGTAGGCACTGGACAGACAAAAACAAACATGAAATTATCTCTGCCCTCAAGGAGCTTACCTCCTTCTTTCTGTTCCACACCTATTGTTCTTACCATGACAGTCCTGCCTGAAGCTTATGGGTCCATAGAATTTAGAGCTGGACAGGGCCATAGGGCTAATCTAACCCAACCCACTCATTTTCCAGGGGAAAAAAACTAAAGCACAGAGAGGGGAAGGGTCTTGCTCAAGGGCACATAGAAAATAAGCGGCAGAAGCCCTCTCACTCCAAACCCAAGGCTCTTTCCACTACCACGGAGTTCTCCAAATGTTTTCATTCCAAGAAAAGCCATCAATCTTTTTCTAATAGCCTTTCCCTCAACACATTTTTTAGTTGAAAACCATGTTTCGTATACTTCTTTTGCCCAGAAAAGTTATTATCACTGGTGGGAAATTCAGTCAGTTAAAGGTTTTACATACAGTCAGTGCCTCTGATTACATGTTTCTGGCTGAGCTATTCTAAGAAAAATCATAATTGCTTGAAAGATATAATCAAATCAGTTTTTTCTGTAAACAGGAGCCTGACACAGAAGGCCAGAATTTGCAACAGCTAAGAGAAGGTAGAAAGGGGAGGCATTCACAGCTTGGAGAAACAAGCTGCCATCCATATGGCAGCCAGTCAACAATTAAAAAAAACAACAACACAGTAAAGGGTCAAGCATTGCTAGTGCTCTCAGCATCCCTTAGAAATGGGGGAAATTACAGTTGATAGATGTGTTTGTGACAAAAGTTATTTCAGAGTGGATTTAATGTGCCTCTTGCCAAAATCATGGGAACCCATCTGAAAGTACACAGCATAAAAAAATTTAGTCAATTGTGACCTCCAGTATGATAGAAGTTCTATTTTTTGACCAGGGTGATTCATAGAATTTTGAATCTAGAAGAAGGCTTAGAGGACATTTAGTTCAAAGCCTTTATTTTAGAGATGAAAAACTAAGATGGAAAAAAGGGAAATGACTTGCCCAAAGTTACACATGCAACCAACCAATCAGTCGATGAGTATTTATTAAGCATTTGTGTCTGGAACTGGGCTAGGGACTGGGTATACAAAGGGGAAAATGACATAGTCCCTGCATTCAGGTTCTATCGTGGGAAATAGTGTATATATACACACATATACATATATGTATGTATGTATACGTATTTTATTTCTGTACATGTGTACAAATCAGATAGTTTGGAGGAAAAGAGAGCACTAGCATAAGGAAAGGCTTCATGTAGGAGGTGGTGTTTGAGCTGGACTTTGTAACTCAGAGAGTAAATAGAAGAGATGATTGTGGGTTATACCTGCATTACAGTTTGTCCAATCCTGATGTCTTGGACTCATTGAGGGCAACTCAGTGATCTCACCATTTTCTTGTTTATCTTAGGTTTCAACTCTTTATTGACCATTTTTATTCTGTTCTTCCCATTCCAATGATCATTCTTCTTATAAGAGAAATCAGAGGCAAAGTAAATGTTGAGTCATTCTGCCTTCTTTCCATTCTCTGCTATTATTCCATCTATCCTGAGCAGTAGACCTATTCCATCTTTGATCCTCATCTTTTTTCCATCATAGTTAAATAAAACTTTTCAAAGATTATCCATAGTATTCATTACCAGTCCCATGCTTTGTTGCTGCTGAAATGATCCTTGAAGACATTGTCACATTATGTGCTGATTTTCCATCATTTGTTTGCACTTCCATCCATTGTAAGTCATTTTACAATCTGAGTTGTCAGTGATTTTTCCTGTGCCTCTTATTTGACAGAGCTGGTACTTGAACTCAGGCCTCCTAACTCCAAACCTATTACTTCTTTGTCTCTATCACTTCATCCGTCTTGATCATGCCCCTGCTCAATAACACTTGGTTGTTGTCCTTCGTTCTCAGAAAGGACCAAAATGACATCACTATGTTAGAGTCAAGTTACAGTGTGTCTGACTGTGGCTGATCAGACCAATACGAGCTCGGAATGCTCTGCCACAGGTCGGACACAGATAGTCTGTGTGAACATTTGGAGTCGAATGTCTTTAAATTTGTGCATCTCACATTTTTTTTGAGCTACTTCAATTCTGCTTTGCTCATAGAGCACAGTGCTTTCTTTGATGTGGGTACACCATGCTGGGTGGTCTTTTGCCAGCATTTCTCATGTCATGCAATCAGTTCCAAAGTTCATCAGAGAGATCTTGAGAGTGTCCTTGTATCGCTTCTTCTAACCACTTTGCTGCTTTTTCCATCGCCCATACGATAAAATACAAATTCTTGAGCCTGGCATCCAAGGCTGTCTACCATCTGACCCCCACTCTACCTCTCCAGTCTCATGTCACACACTTTCCCCTCACAGATTATAGGCTGGAGCCAAACTGGACCAGTAACTGTTCCCTGAGGACATCCTGTTCTCCTAGGTCTCTGCACTTTTGTTCACAACATTTCTTGAATGACGAGTCTGGAAAAGCTCTTTCAGCCGAATCTCAGTTGACATATTTTAAGACCCAGCTCATATTCTACCTCCTTAATGAAGCCTCCCGGTTCTCCTAGCTGGAAGTGGTGCCCTTCCCTCTCTGATCTCATAGCACTTTGCATTCTTCTTATGTACTTATTGTCTTTTAATCTATATTCTTGTTATCTCGGTACTTGTCTTATCTTTCCAACTAGTCTGTAAGCTCCATGAGGTCAGAGACTGTGCACACAGTCTGGGTTAAACACTGAGCTTTGACCTCTGCTGGCAGTATGACCCTGGGTAAGTGCTTTGCTGCTTGCTAAGGCTTGGTCTACTCATCTGTAAGATCAGAATAAAAATTCTTGTACTTCACAGGGATGTTGGGGGAGGGAGGGAAGGCAGAAGTGGTTTATGTTGCAGGGTCATATTTATAAAGCTTAAAGTGCTATCAAATCAAGAGCTATTATCATTTTAGCTCCTTGGCTCTTAGAACAGTGTGTTGTACGTAGCAAGCGGTACTTAACACACATTGAATTTCTAGTTTCTGTTCACTCCTAGCTTTGGAAAAATTCAAAACTTTCCCCCAGGTTAGTCTCTGCTCAGATTCTAATTCAGTCAAAATTCCTTCACTCAGAATAACAGCAGCTTTCAGCATTCAGGCTTTCCATTCCATCTAAGGTCATTCCAATGCCAGTGAATGGGAAGGCTGTTTTCCATGTTTTCATGGTGTGGAGAGAAATGAGAAAGAGAAGTAAAAAGTGATCTGAAGACTAATAATGCTGTAGAGGATGGAGAACTGAAAGGGAATCCTAGTATTCTCAGACACACTGGTTTGTTTTGCTTCATTATATAGACTTATTACAAAGAAGACTTCTCTTTGTAGTGAGGATGGGGGTAGTAGGTCATGGTAGACGTGTGAATGAAAGATCATCAATATGATATTGTAAAAAGTGCACACAACAAAAGGATTCAGAAAGAGATACAAATACAACAATTTTGCTTACTAGGTTGTTAAATTATATATATATATATATATATATATATATATACATATCTGTGACATATATTTCTTTTAAAATCCACATGTAACAGAAGTTCATGGTTTTTTTAATATAATATTCTTTCTTGTTCTTTATATATTGAACAGTTTGTGTTTGTGAATGAGTGTTAAGTTTGCAACAAAAAAGAAAAAATGTGTAAAACTTAGAATGTCAGAAGTAGGAAGAATCTTAGGGATGTCTAACTCCATCCCCTCATTTTGCTGGGGAGGTAACAGGTGTGGAAAGGAAAAATGGCTTTGCCTCAGATTAGAAAATAGCAGCGCTGGGGCTTAGACCAGACCCTTAGGACCCATGCCCAGGGCTACTTCTTCTATCTTCCATACCTTTTGCCAGCTCTGGATAACACTGTGCCCCTAGAAGACTGTTACAATTGAAGGCAGGTAACCAGCTTTGCACCCTGACTGCTGCACCAGCTCTAGCAAGTCTCAGCCTTTCTGAGCCTTCCTTTCTTTATCTGTAGGAGAGGGTGGCTACATTATCTATTGGCTGCACAAGGCGTTGTTGTTATCAGGTCAGAAGCAAATTTGCCCTAAGGAGGAGAAAGTACTACATTATGGGAAGAAATGTTACCATTTGTCAAGGTCCTTAAGGATTGTCCAGAAATGTCCAACTCCTGAGCATGGCTGAAGGGCTGCCCTAAACCCACGAGGTCATTGAACAATGTGGAAGCATTAGGCCCACCCTCTGGAATTTGCTTTTCTCTAGGCTATTTGGATCAGCCTCTTGGTAAGGGTCCACAGTACTAGAACACAATGGTCCCCTGGGTAGAGGTCTGAGGAACAATGAAATGGACTTTACCGCTCCAAGGATGGCCCAGTCCAAGCAGATAGGGGTTGGGGGCTAAAGGATTAGCATATACTTTCTTTTTTAAAAATTTAATTTAATTTATTTTCATTTAACAACAACAAAAAACCCAAAACTATTTTCTCCTTCTCTGCCAGTGAAAAACAAAGCAAAGCAAAACCCTTGTTATAAATATGTATAGTCAAGCCAAATGAATTCCTACATTGGCCATATAGATATATTTTTTTAATTGCTTCATTCTGAGTCCATAATCTTTCCCCTAGAAGATCAGTGGATAGAGAGCTGAGCCTGAAGTCAAGACCTGATGTCCTGTCTGGTTCCAGGTACTTACTAGCTGGGCAACTCTGGGCCAGTCTTTTGCCTCAGTTTCCTTAGCTACAAAATGGGAATAAAATGGTAAAAAAAAAAAAAGTAAAATATAGTAAAATAAAAGAGTAAAAACTCTTGGGGTTGTTGTGAGGATCAAACGAGATGCTATTTGTGAAGCAATAGGCACAGCGCCTCAAATACAGCGGTAAGCACTTCAGAAACACCTGTTCCTTCCTTCCCTCTTCACTGGTTCTTTGGACTCCTGGCTGACCATCAGCATATGCTTTGACAGATCTCCTCCCTCCATGGTGTACAATAGAATCGTCCCACACTTTCTGACTTTGTCATGCTTGTCCATGTCCATAAATTCCTCCCCAAAGGACTTACCCCATGTGCTGGAGGTCTTTCTCTGGTTCATTTGATATTTCTTGGGGACCAGTGAAGTTATTGGACTGTTATTACTCACTCTTGTTATATAACCAGCCCATCTTCTTTTCCTCGAAGACGTGTTTTATGGGATTTCTCTCACACAGATCCTCACAGGTCATGTGTTGCAGCCTGCATCCCCCCGACTCTATCCTCCCATGAATCTTGCCTTGAATCACCTGCAATCCATAAACAGACTTTTTTTTAAAAAGATTTAAACTCAGAATAAAAAGTCCCATTTCTATAGAACTTTAAGCCTTATAATAACTCTTTGAGGGTAATTAATGTACTCACTGTAAACACTGTTGTCCCTGTTACACACTAGAGAGAATTGAGGCTCAGATAAAGTGTTTTACCTAAGATCATACACCTAATAATTGAAACTGAATTCAAACTCAAGTCTCCTGATTCCTAGGCCTGGGCTCTTTCTACTACATTATGCTGACTACTGGAATCCCAGAACTGGGAAGAGGCTTTGGAGGTTATCCAATCTAATTGCTTGATCTTCCAGAGAAGGAAACCAAGGCAAGGTGTAGAAAGAAGGAGAGTGACCTGCACAGGATCACTGGGCTGCAATAAGCCCAGGTTTCCTTCCTCACAGTCTAATGGGCTTTCTATTACACAACACTGCCTCCTCTGTCCACTCCTATTTTTGACAGGTATTTCTATGGACTCCCAATTATAAGGATTCTTTTTTATTATTCTATTTTTTATTTCGTTCTCTTTTTATCTTCATCTGTAACTCCATGTATCTCTAGATCTATTCTTTCATATCTTTTTCTATCTCTCTGTATCACCATTTTCTCTTTTCTCTTTCTCATTCTTTCTTTGACTACTTATTCTCACTGGAGCAAGAATTCAAAAGAATCAGGTGTCTCATTCTGTAGTTTGACTTAAATGTCACAAGAATTCGGTGAAGCCATAGCATTACCTCCGCTCAGTGGAAAGAAGGCCTGATTGAATCTCAGTTCAGTCAGGACAACCTGTATGACCTTGGATAAGTCACTTCCTGCCTCTCCATTTCTCTACAGTCCCTTAGCTCACCCAACTGTAAAGTGGAAATAAATAGTGCTTCCTACTTGACAGGCTTTTTGTGGGGAGACTGCTTGTCAAAAAGCAATGATAACAGCATAGTGCTTGACACACAGCTGGTGTCTAATAAATGTTAATTTTCTTTCTTCCTTATTGATTTTGTAAAATGCTTTACAATTATCTCATTTGATCCTCCTAACAGCTCTTTGAGGTATGCTATTATTAGGCCCATTTTACAGATGATAAAAATGAGTTTGAGAGGTTAAGTGACTTACCCAGGGTCACCTAGCTAGCAAGTGTCTAGAGCCAGATTCCAATTCAATATTTTTTTTATTCCAAATCAAGCGCTTTCCCTTGGTGCTGCCTAGCTACCTGTAATCAAACATCTTTAAATACCATAGAAATGAGAGTTATTATTAAGTGGATAAATTGATGAAAGGGGTCAAACCTAGAGGTTGGAGAAGGAGAACAGCTTCCTGTAATAGAGCCTTGATAAACAGACAGAACATGGAAAAGGGGCAGTCCCTTACGCTGGGAGGACCTTGCAGGCTGATTGGATTATTTCATCTGACGTAAGTATCCATTTCTTGCTCTTTAAAACCAACCTCTCAGCCCTGGATACCTTAGGGGCCAGGTTACCCTATGTCCTCTAGTATAAGAACTCCCACTACTGAGTCACACGATTGGGCTTTGCACTGGAGGGGAATGTTCCTGGAAATGGTCTAGTCTCATTTTATAAGTAGGGAAACTGAGGCTCAGAGAAGGGAAGTTACTCGCCCCAGGTCAAGCCAATAGTGAATTCTATGTATTCACACATCCTCTTCTTCACTCTGAAAAAGAGTCTGCCCTTCTAGCTAAAGCCAAACTTATGTGGTATCCCTCTCATTTCCTGTAGGAGCTAGCCCTATCATTTAATCCTTATCTCTCATCTTCACTATCTTCTCATATATTATCTCTTTCCCCTACTCTTAAAAAACCTTGACTTGACCCTACCAGCCCTGCCCCAAGCTATTGTCTCTCCTCACTTTCACAACCAAACTCCCAAGAAAGAATTGCCTCCATTCCCTGACTCCAAGTCGTCACAAACCTAATCATTTCTCAATCCTTTGCAATATGGTTTCTGGCCTCTCCACTGACCTGGGAAGCCAGCCTAGAGAAACAAGAAGCTCTCAAAAAAGAAATTCTGAAAACACAAAGAGACATGATTTTTGATGAGCATGAAGAGGAGCTTATTGACCAACACGGATCTCTAAAAAAATATGTACCAAAGATGGAAACACGGGCATAAACGTACTATCAAGAAGGCTAGAACTTAGGGTAATTTGAATCTAACAGGAAATCTAAGGAAAACAAAAAGGATTGCTTACTTATATCAGGGTAAAGAGGAGGATCAAAGTAGGGACTAGATCAAAGAAGGGGCCAGACTGCAGCTTGGGGTGAATGGGACTCTGATAACAGGCAACAGATAAAAGTCTAAGCTGATTAACTCTTATTTTTGTTTCTGTTTTCTCTGCTAAGAAGAATGATCTTTGGAAGGGGGACAAAACGTAAATGGCTGGTAGGAGTTGATACCTAAGATAAGTAGGGAGATAATAAGAGTACTGACCTGCTCTTGAAGAGTTCAAGTCAACCTGCCACAGACGAACTACTTGCTAGGATACTGGGTGGACCTGGTAGATATGACTGCTGACACATTGTCTTTGTTTTTGAAAGATCATAGAGGGTGGTAAAAGATCAAACGTCCTGATTAAAAAAAAAAGGAAGAAAACAGCCTGCAGACTATAGGTTAGTGAGTTTCACTTTAGTTCCTAGCAAAATTCTAGAATGTATAATAAAAATTATAGTTCATAGGTATCTACAAAAGGAAGCAATGATCACAAAGAAGCAGCATGACTTCATTAAGAATGAGTCACACCCATACCTCCAATAAGATGGCTGAGCAATAAGAGAGCCACTCTCTGACCATGGAACATTACTCCCTCTCCTAATCTCCCCACCTCACTCTCCCAGGAATAAAGAAAGAAGAAGGAAGAAGAAAAACATAAAAAAGGAAAATTGAGAGAACCATCCAGAGATGAGGGCAAATGATAAATAGAGCCCCTGCCTAGGGAGCTACAGATACCTATAGTTCTAGAATCTCAGATCCAATGCTGAGTTAGACCTGATGCCTTTGTTGCTTCCCTAGGCCCCTCACACACACTTCCTGTTTCACTAGGTTAGGGATATAAGGTTTCTCTTTTCCATTCCCCACCCTCCACTGACCTGAGCTCTTTAGGTTTAAAGCAATGACTGTTGGATATACCTATTCATTAGAGCGTTTTGGAGTCTGGCTTACAAGTCCAAGATCCAATCTGAGGCCTTGAGGAACTGTCTTCTGCCCTTCAAGAACAGCTAGGTCTAAGTGAAAGAGTAGCCCTTGACCTCATCTACTCCACTGCTAATTGAAGTCTAAGAAATGCCTGGTTCACTTCACCTATCCACAGTGGGTGGGGACTCTCCTTCTAAGCTCCATCCCCCCCCCCCCGGCCACCAAAAAAAATTCCCACATATTCAGTAGCCAAAAGCTACTGTTCAGCCACACTCCATCTTACCAGCAATAAGAAAATTCTTTGCAGTCCAGTTCCACACTTGAGAAAGCTGATATGGTGGTGGAGACCCAGCCCAGAGTCCAGCCTGGCATTCCAGAGAGCACTGACCTTTTACTGTGATTTCAAGCTAATGTAGTTGTTACCCATTACTTATGGCGATAAATACATTAAAGGAATTAGAGAAGAACTTTAAGGTAAATAAACACACACACACACACACACACACACACACGACAAAGCATCAACTAGGAAAACTACAAAACTATTTCCTGGGTTTAACTCATCCATGGAAGCAGGTAATAACAGACACACACACACACACACACACAACACACACACACACACACACGTCCTTCATTCTCGAAGAGTACCAAAATGACATCACTATGTTGGAGTCAAGTTACATTGTGTCTAACTGTGGCCGATCAGACCAATATGAGCTCGGAATGCTCTACCACAGGTCAGGCATGAATAGTCCATATGAACATTTGGGGTGGATTCTTTAAATTTGCGCATCTCACATTTCTTTTGAGCTACTTCAATTCTGTGTTGTTCAGAGAGCACAGCACCTTCTCTGACGAGAGTCCGCCATGCTGGGCGGTCCTGTGCCAGTGTCTCCCATGTCATGCAATCAATTCCAAAGTTCTTATGAGGCAACAAAACTGAACAAAGATTAATGCAGAATAA